TCAGGAAATTAAGGCTAAGCATCAATTAGTTGCCCAAGTCCACACAGCTAGAAAGTGGGAGTAGACATGAACAAAATGTTGACTAGTATAAATTGGGGAGATTTAATTGGATGATTTCCCTAATCTTTAGACTTCCAGCTCTGAAGTCACCAATGTTCTGAAAGTGTTTAACATTATTTAGATATAAACAGTAAAATATCTGCCAGGATGAACTTGCTTTGGGGAAAGTGCTGGGTTGCTTGCAGGCTCAAACCAGTTGGAGCTTTCATCTAGCTCATTTCCTGACTGTCCAAGAAGTCTCTTCACAATGGCATTCAAGCAGAATAGGTCACTTTTCTACCTCACCAGGTTTTAATGCTTCTGTTTTTTCATCCTTAGCTCTGGGTAATGGCTGTAAAACTGTAAATACAGTGGAGCTACAAACTTTATCCGGTGACTAAAGGACTCTACATACTGCCAAATGTTGAACTCTTTAGACTACTGAGCACACTGGCTCCACCTATTGTCAGACAAAAGCAAATGTTTTCCTACTCTGATTCAGAGTTCCCTTTTAAATTTACCCTTTTGTATATTGCTCTTTTCCCCTCACTTTTCTTTCCCATACCTTTTATATTTGAGCTTTTCTTTTCCCTTGCTCAAAGCTGACTTTAATAAATTTTGAACTTTTTGGAATGTTGTCAACTTTGCCTATAATTTGTATCATATAAGGAGAATATGCGGAGTATGGTGATGGTGATCGAAAAATAGCATAATTTTCAGATGTTTTTAATCTCTTAAATCAATTTCTAAACAGGATTCCCCTCTAGAGAAAATTTTTTAAAAAAATTGTAATACAGTACTTTGTTTTGTATGAGTCTATAGTTTTTAATTCCAGAAAAGAAACTGTTTTAATTGAATTTTATGAGTGATTAACACCAAGTCCAGTTAAATTCTTTTTTTTTTTATTTGACAGGTAGAGTTAGACAGTGAGAGAAAGAGAGACAGAGAGAAAGGTCTTCCTTCCGTTTGTTTACTCCCCAAATGGCCGCTAAGGCCGGTGCTGCGCGGATCTGAAGCCAGGAGCCAGGTGCTTCTCCTGGTCTCCCATGCGGGCGCAGGGCCCAAGCACTTCGGCCATCCTCCACTGCCCTCCTGGGCCACAGCAGAGAGCTGGACTGGAAGAGGAGCAACCTGGACTAGAACCCAGCGCCCATATGGGGTGCCTGGGATGCTGGCGCCGCAGGTGGAGGATTAACCAAGTGAGCCATGGCGCCGGCCCCCAGTTAAACTCTTAGTAGAAATAATATAGCCTTTGTTTTCAAATTCTTTTTAGTACCTTAATTTTAAATTATAAAAACAGTGTAACTATATTATAGAAAATTTTGGGGAAAGAAGAAAATTCATTATTTCACTATCTTATTTGGGTGGTCAGGGAGCCCTCGCCAATCATATTTTTGCTCAGTCCGTTGTGCCAGTTATCAGTTTATTATCTCAGCTCCATGGCAGCCTGGGGCTCAGTCCTACTTCATGCTGTGGTGGTCTCCACAGGCTGTGGGCTCTGGGTATGATTAAGCATTGTGACATTTTTTGCCACAGAGCTGCTCTCCCATTTCTCAGCTCTCAGGCAGTATGGAAAGAGTAATGATCTGCTTGAGGAAAGGGAAGACTTTGTGTAAGAGCCCGGGACTGGTACCTCCACAATGAGGCCCAGAGCCAGTTGGAATTCCATGGTACTTGGCCAAAGGCCAGTGACTGGAGTCTACCCTGGTTCCAGGAAGAGGCTTACAAGAATGGATTACTCCTTTCTTTCTGTCTCTCTCTCTCACTGTCCACTCTGCCTGTCCAAAAAAAAAAAAAAAAAAAAAGGATTACTCCTTTTTAGACACTTCCTCAGTTCATTCTGACAATACAACTGTGGATTTGAGGCAAACCTGTAATGGAGTGCCCTCTAGTGCTGAAACAATGACAACACACCAACAGCAGGCCTTAGGCTGATGAAGATGTGGAGGAAAGAGATAACCTTGTACACTGTTGGTGGAAATGGTTAGCAATTGCACAAAACAGTATGGAGATTACTCAAAAAATTAAAAATATAACCACCATATTCCAACAATGCCATTATGGGGTATACATCCAAAGGAAACAAAATCAAGCTAAGCAGCTCTCCCATATTTGTTGTACCACTATTCAGAAATGCAAAGAAATGGTAGAAAACCTGCATATCCATCAGCTAATGAGTAGATAAAATATGATGTGTATGCACAATGGATACTATTCAACTATAAAAAGGATGAAATCTTATTTGCAACAACATGGAGTTCATCAAGTGAAATAAGTAAGGCAAAAGAAGACAAATACTACCTGATCTCAGTCACATGTGGAATCTAAAAAAATTAATCTCATGGCCAGCATGGCACAGAGGTGCAACAGGTTAAGTTACTGCCTGGAATGTTGGCATTCCATATGTATGTATCCTATAGATAACATATACTATCGATAACAATAATGTAATACATACATACATGTAATAAACACATATGCAATATACGTTTACATTATCTATAAAATAGATAGCTATTATATGTAGATATTATACAAAATAGTACATATATTAAAACTAGGATAAAGGATTCCAGATGATTTCACAAAAAACAAATGTTAAACATTTTAGATAGCTATGTTTACCCTTTATTGAACATTGTATAATGGATATGTATATTATTACATACATATTAATACAAGCTTTGCAAGTATCTCATAAATGTGCACAATTCTTATATATCAATTAAGAACAAAAATTTTTTAAAAGTAAGGAGATAATTTTATGAATACTAGAGGATAAAGGTGAAACTGCTGTACTCAGGTTTAAGCAAACACACATGCATGAATTTGTTTCATCAGACTTTCTTGACCATCTGTTCTTTCCTTGGTACTGTATGTCAAGTGACAGGGATACAAACATGAATGAGAAGGTATCCTTGACCCCAGAATGTCATACACAGGTTTAATTTTAGAACATTTTGCCTATTTCTTTTTTTTTTTTTTTTTTGACAGGCAGAGTGGACAGTGAGAGAGAGAGACAGAGAGAGAAAGGTCTTCCTTTGCCGTTGGTTCACCCTCCAATGGCCGCCGCTGCAGCCGGCGCACCGCGCTGATCCTGGCAGGAGCCAGGAGCCAGGTGCTTTTCCTGGTCTCCCATGGGGTGCAGGGCCCAAGCACCTGGGCCATCCTCCACTGCACTCCCTGGCCACAGCAGAGGGCTGGCCTGGAAGAGGGGCAACCGGGACAGAATCCGGCGCCCCAACCGGGACTAGAACCCGGTGTGCCGGCGCCGCAAGGTGGAGGATTAGCCTATTGAGCCACGGCGCCGGCTCATTTTGCCTTATTTCTAGTGGAAATCTGCTTCTCTACATCATTGTCAGTTTTATTTAAGATATTTTAAAGCTATTACCAACCTTACTTACCTTTAGTTTAATAATCCTTCAAATATTTGAAGACAGCAATCATTCTTTATTCCTAAATAAAGATGCTTTTGTATCTCTGTTTTTTTGAAGTATGGTATCACAAATAGACAAGTAATCCAAGGAGAAGCTGAATTAAAGCAGAGGGAAACAGGAAGACTATTACCTAGTTTTTTCCAGTTTTAGCTCTAAATGTTGCTTTGAGGTAGTCTATTGAGATCCTCCACCTCCCCCAACCCCTAAATAGACTGTCTTTGGATCTTTCTGAGGTTTTCCTTATTTGATTTTTCACACAAGCAAATATTTTTAGTTTGCAATAGGTTTGTCAGTATGTATTTTTCTTTTTAAATCCTCGACTGTTTGAAAATGTTTTTTTCCTATCCTCAGTTAATTGATAATTTGTCTTAATATTGGTACCTATGTTGAAAATAATCTATTTGGAGTTTTGAAAGTATTGTGCCACTTTTTATTCTAACCAGAATTAAATTTATAAAATGCTGTTTAGTTGTTCCTTTCCCCATTTTATCTGTTTGTTTCTGTAACTGGAGTTTTATTATTCCTTAGATATTAATGTTTGAGTTTTGCTTTTGTAAATATGAAAGCAAAAATCATATTAAAGTTTATTGCCTTTTGTGTTTCACTGGAAACCTAGAAACTAAAACTTTACTAGAAAAATGAAGTTTTAAAAATGGGTGTTAGACCATTTTCCATTGTTATAACAAAATACGTGAAGCTGGGTAATATATAAATAAAAGAGGTTTATTTAGCTCACAGTTTTGAAGACTGAAAGCCCATGATTGGGCAGCCCTATTTATTTGGTAAGGGCCTGTGGTAAGGGCCTCATAATAGGTGACATTATGGCAGGAGCTCATGTGAGAAGGATCACAGAATGAGACAGGAAGCCAGAGACAATTCAAGGGTCAGGCTGACTCTTTTAATAGCAAGCCACTTTCATGAGAACTAACTCATTTCACAAGACCAGCACTAATCTGAGGGCAGCGCCCCCAGTGACGCACCCACCCTATGCTAAGTCCTGTCTCTTAAAATTCCACCAATCCTAATACTGCCACATTGGGAGCCCAACTTCTAACATGTAAACCCCGGGGGATAAACCACGTCCAACCTATAGCAACCTGCAAAATGCAAACCTCAATTTGTTGCTTCTTTACTCAAAAGACAAAATTAACTCAATTCTTTATTTTTTTTATACTTCATCCATAGACTGTACTTTGAGTACCATTGGTGTAGCCTGCCCTTTCCAATCCATTTTTTGCTCTATCTCTGAGGTTCTTTCTGAGATCCTTTTTTCTATTTGCCTTCAGAATTTAGAATTTCCTTTTGTGGATATGCTGTAGAAAATTCTTGGCTCCATTGTCTGAATTTTTTTGTAAGAAATTTTTGTTGAATACAGAATTATTTTCCTTTAGCACCATGAGAATATCTTCCCACCATCTTCCTGAGAAGTCATCTATTTAACTGTTGCTTAAGGCCAAGTAACTGTGTCTTTATTTAAAATGTTATTGATTAATTTAAATATCTTTCTGTGTTTTTCTCCTATAGGGAATACAGTGAGCAACCTGATTATGATCATACCTCCAATTTTTGGTGCAATTCAGAGTGTTAGAGATGGACTGGAAAAGCGGTACATTGCTTCGTATTTAGCACTCACAGGTATGTAACACTTCATCTGAAAAAATGATGTGCAGTTCTCACATGGACTGTTTTTCTTAGCTATTTTAGTTTTCAATATTATATTGTTTATTACACGACTCAACCTTGAGTATACAGTGTTTATGAAGTCTACATTAATGTGCAGTATTATTCTAGGCCTTCACATTGACTCACTATTCACTCACACACAGAGCAGCTTCCAGTTCTGTATAAGCTCCAAACACAAATACTCACCATTGTGTTGGTCTTGTCTTTAGTACTCAGTATAGTAACCTGCTGTACAGGTTTGTAGCCTGGAAGCAATACAGCATACGAAATAGCCCAGGCATATAGTAGACTGTATCATCTGGATTCTTGTAAATACATTCTGTGATCTTTGCACAATGATGAAATTGCCTCAAAACACATTTCTTAGAATATGTCTCTGTCACTAAGCAGTGCATGACTGTATTATGAACTTTAAATTATTTAAAATAAGAAATGAACACAAAACTCTTTTACGGTGTTTTCGACTTGTGGTGTGGGGTGAGGCTTAAAAAAACTATATGGAAAAGACAAGAAAGAAATTGAAAACCTACATCTGACAAAAAAAAAATAAACAATAAAGTAAGTCCCCAATAATTCCAAGATCTCTGAAAATGTTCTAAGATCCAATAGATGACAGTACTGACTGAAGGTAAAGGACTAGGAAGTGTGTGAGACCCAAGGTAGCAGTTTTGAATGACATCATTTCTGGGAAAGAGATAAATAGAAAGAAGTACCCTTTGGAGATATGTTAGCGAAAGGGTAAAAGAAAATTAGAGGTAGAAATTAAGATCCTATGGAGGCGGCGCCGCGGTTCACTAGGCTAATCCTCCACCTTGCGGCGCCAGCACACTGGTTCTAGTCCCGGTCGGGGCGCCGGATTCTGTCCTGGTTGCCCCTCTTCCAGGCTAGCTCTCTGCTGTGGCCAGGGAGTGCAGTGGAGAATGGCCCAAGTGCTTGGGCCCTGCACCCCATGGGAGACCAGGAGAAGCACCTGGCTCCTGCCATCGGATCAGTGCGGTGCACCCGCCGAGCGCGCCAGCCGCGGTGGCCATTGGAGGGTGAACCAACGGCAAAGGAAGACCTTTCTCTCTGTCTCTCTCTCTCTCACTGTCCACTCTGCCTGTCAAAAAAAAAAAAAAAAAAGTTCCTATGGAACAACAGAATTATAAAATATATCAACCCCTTCCCTATTCTTCCTCTCACTTTCTGAAAAAATGGACTTCAAAGATAAGTTTGTTTTTGTACTAAACAGTTGAAATCCATGAATCATCTTTTCAAAATATATTATTTCCATGAATTTTTTGAATACCCCTTATTTGCATGGATTTATTTTTTTGCATCAAAATAGAGCTGTATATTTTTAAATTAAAAAAAAATTTTTTTTGACAGAGTGGACAGTGAGAGAGAGAGAGAGAGACAGAGAGAAAGGTCTTCCTTTGCCGTTGGTTCACCCTCCAATGGCTGCTGTGGCTGGCGCATCACGCTGATCCGAAGCCAGGAGCCAGGTGCTTCTCCTGGTCTCCCCTGCGGGTGCAGGGTCCAAGGACTTGGGCCATCCTCCACTGCACTCCTGGGCCATAGCAGAGAGCTGGCCTGGAAGAGGGGCAACTGGGAAAGAATCCGGTGCCCCGACCGGGACTAGAACCCGTGTGCCGGCGCCGCAAGGCGGAGGATTAGCCTAGTGAGCCGTGGCGCCGGCCTAAATTTTTAAATTTTAATTTTTAATTACTTTTAAGAGATTTAGTGTGATTTGTAGATACAGTTCTAAGAACATGATGATATTCCCTCTCTCCCCCTCTCTGCCTCCCACCCTCCTTCCTTTTCCTGGTCTGTCTTTGTTTTTCTTTGTTTTTGAGATAACATATTTAAAAAATTTAAAATTTAACTTTTAATTAAATTTAAAATTTAATTAAATTTTACATTACAGTAAAAAGGCTTAATACTTAAAATTTATTTAAAATTTACATTATAGTAAAAAGGCTTAATGTTTCAGTGAGTAAGTTTAACAAATAAAAAGCAAAAAGATCCTAGTTTGGTGGGTGTAAAGACAATGGCTATAAACAATAATTGAATGGAAAAATGACAATTTTACCCAGTACAGTAAATTTTAAAGTAATCAGAGCACATTAAAACTGTAACCATTGGTTTGACAAAAGTGTAAAACAAAGATTTACAAAACTATATTTGCAGCAGTACTATATACACAGACTTTTTTTTTTTTTTAATTTTAGCTCCCATATATAAGGGAGAAAATGTGGTATTTGTCTTTTTGGGTCCAGCTTATTTCACTCAACATGATATCCTCCAGTTGTATCCATTTTGCCACAAATCGTAGAATTTCATTCTTTATTATAGCTGAGTAATATTCCATTGTATATGTATATTCCACATTTTCTTTATCCATTCATCTGATGATGGACACCTTGGTTGATTCTGAATTTTGGCTATTGTGAACAGTGCTGCTATAAATATCCTGGTGCAAGTATCTCTATGATACATTGTGTTCAGATCGTTGGGGAATATACCCAGTAGTGGGATTGTTGGATCATGTGTCAAGTCTATTTCTAGTTTTTAAAGAAACCTCCACACTGTTTTCCCCAGTGGCTACACTAATTTGCATTCCCACCAACAAGCATATAAGTGTGCCCCTTTCTCTGTGTCCTCACCAGCATTTGTTATTCTCTGTGTTTTGCATTTTAGCCATCCTGATAGGAATAGGAGATGTCTTATTGTAGTTTTGATTTGCATTTCCCTGATGGATAGTGATGTTGAGCATTTTTTTCATATATTTGTTGGCCATTTGTATTTCTTCTTTTGAGAACTGTCTTTTGAAGTCCTTTACTCATTTCTCAACTGGATTGGTTGCTTTTTTGTTGTTGTTGTGTTTTTTAAATTGCTGATATAGTAGCCCTTTGTCAAATAGATGGTTTGCAAATATTTTTTCCTATTCTTTTGGATGTCTCTTTGCTCTTGATTGTTTCCTTTGGTGTGCAAAAGCTTCTCATTTGTTTAGTTTTGCTTTTGTTGCCTGTGCTGTGGGGGTCTTATCCAAGAAGTCCCCTCACACCAGTGTCTTGGAGTATTTCCCTTATGTTTTCTTCCAGCAACTTCATAGCCTCAGGTCTCAAATTTAGGTGTTTGATCCATGTTGAGTTGATTTTTGTATATGATGAGAGGTATGGATCTAATTTAATTCTTCTACATTTATACATCCAGTTTTGCCAGCACCTTTTGTTGAAAAGATTATCCTTACTCCACTGTATGATCTGAGCACTTTTGTCAAAAATCTGTTGTCTGTATACATGTGGGCTCTTCTGTTCCATTGATCCATGTATTGGTTTTTATGCCAGAACTGTGCTGTTTTAATTACTGTAGCATTATGTAGTATGCTTGAAGTCAAATATTGTGATGCTTTCAGCTTGAATTTCTTGTTCAGGATTGCTTTGGCCATTCTGGATCTTTTGTGATTCCATATGAATTTTAGGATTGCTTTTTCTAATGTAAAGAATGTCATTGGGTATTTTGATAGGGATTTCATTAGATCTGTACATTGCTCTAGGTAATATAGACAATTTTTTTTTTAAAAAAGATTTATTTATTTACTTGAAAGGCAGAGTTACAGAGAGGCAGAGGCAGAGAGAAAGAGATCTTCCATCTACTAGTTCACTCCCCAAATGTCCGTAACAGGTGGAGCTGGGCAGATCTGAAGCCAGAAACCAGGAGCTTCTTCTTCCCAAATGGCTGCAATGGCTGGAGCTGAGCTAATCCAAAGCCAGGAGCCAGGCATTTCTTCCCGGTCTCCCACATGGGTGCAGGGGCCCAAGGACTTAGGCCGTCTTCTACTGCTTTCCCAGCGCATAGCAGAGAGCTGGATTGGAAGTGGAGCAGCCAGGACTAGAACTGGTGCTCATATGGGATGCCGGCACTGCAGGCGGAGGGTTAATTTACTGCGCCACAGCGCTGGCCCTGAAAGTTTTTTTCTTTTAAGACCTTGAGTATATATCATCCCACTCTCTTATGGCCTATCGGGTTTTCGCTGAGAAGTCTGATGTTAATCTTACCAGTTTTCCTTTATATGTTACTTGCTGCTTTTCTCTTACCATCTTTAGGATTCGTTCCTTGTGTTTAACTTTTGACAATTTGATGACAATATGCCTTGGAGAAGACATTTTTTGATTGAGTGTTTGGAGTTCTTTGAGCTTCTTGTAGCTTAATGTCCATGTCTCTTTCAAGACCTGGGAAATTTTCAGCTGTTATTTAATTTAGCAGGTTCTCAATGCTTTTTTTATTTTCTTGTCCTTCAAGAATACCTATAATATGAATATTTGGTCATTTAGTGGTATCCTGTATTTCATGTAGACTTCCCTCATTTTTTTTGACTGGCAGAGTGGACAGTGAGAGAGAGAGACAGAGAGAAAGGTCTTCCTTTGCCGTTGGTTCACCCTCCAATGGCCGCCACGGCCGGCGCACGCTGTGGCCGGTGCACCGCGCTGATCTGATGGCAGGAGCCAGGCACTTATCCTGGTCTCCCATGGGGTGCAGGGCCCAAGCACTTGGGCCATTCTCCACTGCACTCCCTGGCCACGGCAGAGAGCTGGCCTGGAAGAGGGGCAACCGGGACAGAATCCGGTGCCCCGACCGGGACTAGAACCCGGTGTGCTGGCGCCGCAAGGTGGAGGATTAGCCTAGTGAGCCGCGGCGCCAGCCTCCTTCATTGTTTTTAACTCTTTTCTCTTTATTTTTTTCTGGGTTGTTTCAAAATTCTTGTCCTCAAGGTCAGAAATTCTTTACTCCATGTGGTCTATTCTGCAGTTAAAGCTCTCAATCGTGTTTTTTATTTTATTGACTGAAGATCTCATCTCCAAAACTTCTATTTGGTTCTTCTTGATGAGTTCTTATCTCCTTGGTATATTTTCATTCACGTCACTCATTGCTTTCCTCATTTCTTTAATCTGTCTGTATTCTCTTGCGTC